GCATTGAGTTTACTGTTTCTACAACATTTCCATAATTTAATACTTTACAGAGGATAGTAAACTTGTGTGGGAACCATGCCAGGTCCTCAGATAATCAAGGCCAATGGGAGACAGGGGCCTTATTATCAGTACACCAGAATGGCCAAAGGCCACTCTGAGCATGAGCCTAATCGGGATGTCTAAGGACTCTGAGCCTGGGAATCCTAATCAGGCCAAGGTACCAAGTGGGTGCAAGGACACACGGTGCACTGTGCCCTTCTGTAACCCAAATGATTGATGTCACTGTTGGCAGCCAGCCTTCTTTTTCTCTGGAGTAATATACAGGTTACTGACCAGAGAGAGGCTAGAGAAGTGAGAGCAGAGAGAGCAGCTGAGCAGAGAGAAGGTGGGAGACAGAAGGAGAGCTGAGAGCTGATATTGCTATGATGTAAGCCTAAGAACTCATAGAGAACTCAGATATAACCACCATGCTAGCCAGAGAGTGTGCTCGTCAAAGAAGACAGGAGGAGCTGCTGAGCCAGAGAGCTTAGGAGCCCCTACGATGAGAGGTGGTGAATCTAGGAGGCAGCGTGCAGTTGCTCAGATAATGGCTGTGGATACAGAGAGGAATGCTGCTTTGGGGGAAAAATGTGTGTTAACCAGCTGGTGCCCGGCTGCCTGCCTGTATGGACTTTGCTGTTCTGCCTGTGTGGCCTTTGCTCTAAAGGACTGTCTTGTCTGATGGCTATGTGACCACTGGCTTCTGCAATAAAATCTCATTCTTATACACCCACAACCTCTCATGGCTTCTCCGTCTGCCCTGCCACTGAGAATTGACCTGCGTGCTCTGAAAGAAGGAACTTGGACTAAGTTCTCAACAGTTACACAGTGGGCAGGGTTCAAGGAGGAACCAGCCCTGATGTGATCGGGAAGAATTTAGAAAAAGGAACCCTTGTGCACTGCTGGTAGGAATGCAGACTGCTGCAGCCACTGTGGAGAACAGTATGGAGTTTCCTCAAAAAACTAAAAATGGAACTTCCATTTGACCCAGTGATTCCACTAGGAAGATATCCCAAGAAACTAGAAACACCAATTAGAAAGGATATATGCACCCCTATGTGCATAGTAGCACAATTCACCATAGCTAAGATTTGGAAACAGCCTAAGTGTCCATCAGCAGATGAGGGATTAAAAAACTGTGGTACATCTACACAATGGAATACTACGCTGTGGTAAAAAAGGAGTTCTTACCATTTGCAACAGCATGGATGGAACTTGAGAGCATTATGCTAAGTGAAATAAGCCAGTCAGATAAAGATAAATATCACATGATCTCACTCATTTATGGAATATAATGAACAATATAAACTGATGAACAAAATCAGATCCAGAGACAGAGAAACATCGATCAGACCATCAAACCTCAGAGGGAAGGTAGGGGAGGGTGGGGGTAAGGGGGAGAGATCCACCAAAGGATGTGTATGCATGCATATAAGCCTAACCAGTGGGCACAGACAACAGGGGGGGTGAGGGCATGAGTGGGGGTATGGGGGGGTAATGGGGGGATAAGGACACATATGTGATACCTTAACCAATAAAGAAATTAAAAACAGAATATATGGATCAGAACAATTCAGAGCAGTGGAGCTGAGCAGTGCTCCTGCTGTCTCTGACAACTTGTATTGTAATTTGTATCACAAAATAATTTGTATCCCAGAAGGTTAATAATTTTCTACATACTTATTTTACTTGGCAACATATATGAGTTAATATTTAAATGAGTTTCTAATTTATCTTCTTATAGTAATATTTTTTTTTAAATTTTGGATGTGTATATCCTTGATAATAAATATAAAATCTCTAATTCAATATGTAAGCTACGTGTTGTTCTTACTCTTATTTTTCTAATGAGAAACTGATACTAGCGATTAAACATGCCCCAATTCACAATAAGTGGTAGAGACAAAATTTGAAGACAAGTGAAACACATGTTTTTAGGACTAGATATAAGTATTCAACATATGAAACTGAAAAAAAGCCCTTCTCGTTACTGTGGAAATACAAAATACTATGAAGATTTTCCATAGCAACCTGCAAGAACATATTATTTTCTTTGCCGCATCAAACTACTTCTTCAGATTTTGCTGCCATTTGTCAATGACAGCATTCCTTCTATCTCAGTGATGGTTATATAAAAGTCTTTGTGCCAAAGAAAACTATGTCTGCTGCAAATGTCCTCATAGGCCAGAATAGATGGCATCTCATGTACTCTGAGTTAGTCTTTACTTTTACTAGAGGATTTGTTGCCTTGATCATATGCCTTGCCAGTGTCCCTGCTATTAATATTCAGCTAATTATTTTTTATTATTTTTAATTATCAATATACTACATGCTTTTGCCACATATATAGATAGATATTGAGGTATCGTAAGTCAAACTGATCTGATAAACATGAAATAAAATGTAAAATCTGTTGCTCACCACATCCCATTCCATTTCTTAGAAATAATTTGTGTTATTCTGGTTTATAGGGAATACAAACACATCCCATAGGTAACACATCTCTAACCTTCTTGCTGGCAATTAAGAAAAATAAGCCTAAATTGTAAGAAGTACTCTGCATACAACTCTCATTAATTTTAAATGGCCATCTTCAGTGTCCAACCTTTAGTATCAAAATCTTTCCAAAGACATCAAGCTGCAAAAGAGCAAAAGAACAGTAATTCCTCTTCCCTTTCTCTCTCTCTCTCTCTCTCTCTCTCTCTCTCTCTCTCTCTCTCTCTCTCTCTCCTCTATCTCTATCTCTATCTCTCTCTTCCCACCTTGCAACATGCTGGTGATAGAAGGGATTTGCCTTGATTTATAGTTTTGAAAAACAGTGTTTGAGAAACAAGACAGTACCAATAGTTCAGCAATTAGTATAAAAATATACACTAAAGAAAAAAGAAACTAGGAAAACAAAATATTAGAGGACAAAGAAGAATGGCCAAACAAATGGTCAGCATTTAACCTCCCTTTTAAAAATTATAAGCTGATTTTTTAAGTATGTTCTTATAAATTACAACTTAAAAAAATGGGTACTACCTAGTCTTCCTTCTTGAGTTTGCTGGAGTGGAGCAGCCCTGAGGAGGAAAGAGACTGCTGATAACGTAGTTAGGTGACGAATCACAAAGATCAGCCTCAGTTTCCCATTGAATTGAATTTGATAAGGTAATGTTTTCATTCTCTTTTTCTCTCAGTATATTATGGAATGTAATCAAATAATAGATACACAAGACAAATAGATACTCTCAGCAGCTTTCCATGTTCCATAATATCCTGTATGCTGAGGACTCCTGTCTGCTGTTCTCCTCTTCCATAACAGGCTACTTCACTGTTTTTGTTTTGTTTTGTTTTGTTTTGTTTTGTTTTGTTTTGTTTTATGTCCTTTGGTTCTACCATAGGTGAGATTTGAAGAGCAAAATGAGAAACTGTACTTAGGTGGTCTACTATCTTGATGAGAGAAACTGGTTTCTGATTATTTCCTTGTATTTTTATCATCCACCTTGTTTTGTCCTCTATGTTTTTTCTTATGTCTTTAAATTGTTTACCTACTAGATGCTGAAATATTTGAATTGTTGTTGGCTTAATATGATTATAATTATTTGCTATTATTTACTAGACATTTTTTTCACTCTTGATTGCTTTACTGATTTCTAGAACTTCACAATTCTCTTAACCCTAACCTTTCAATTATTTCACAGTTCAAATTGTTGAATACCTTAGAATTCTGTCAAGCATTTTTTTTTTCTAACATATTCTGATGATATATTTTGCTGTCAAAATTGTGGTAACACTCATAATCCAAGGACTGAAAACTATAAAAAAAAAAGGAACACATTAATCTCTGAGGTGAATATGGTTTAATTACTGCTCCAAATTGGTGAAAAATGATTTATATTTTAAATATTCTTGTATTATGGAAATATTTGAGTTACTACATAGTTTTAATAATTTTCCAGTAACTGGAGAGTTTATGAACTGCCTGGTCACATGATAAACTGTAAAGCAGAGTCATTCAATAATTGAAGAGAGTTATTACAATGCACGGCATGTATGAATCACTTTCTTACAGTGAGACTTGGAACACAGCCTGTAGTAAAAGGCACACTCTAATTTTTTAAATCATAAATTGCAGTTACATTAATATATAGCTTCTTATACCATTTAGCAGTGACCTGATGAGAACAGACAGGCTACTTTCTGGGAACTAATGTTATGTTATATTGTTCATTGAACATTCTACAAACTTTATAGGATTTTACAAATATCATCAACACTTTTACCTCTTAATATACAAGGTGTCCCCCCAAGTTTGAAAATTAAATGTATTTTAATAATCACTTCCTTTATAATTATTCACGGTGTTTTGAAACATATTGGGGGATACCCTAGATTTATAATTAAAATGATATAGTAAAAATGTACAGAATAATTTAATAAACATTTTATTTGAACCCACACATATACCAACCACAACTGTAGATATTAGCTCTTTTAGAATGAATGGCAAAATATGTCCTTGTCCTCCTGGAAAGGGACTTAGAATCTTGCAGGAGATAAACACACATAAGTGACTACAATATAACAGCCATGATAAATAGTGCAATAGACTCCAGTATAAGAAATGATGGGGCTTTTTTTGCTAAAGCACAGAGCAAGCAAGGAAGGAAAATTTATTTCAGTCTGACATGAGACCCAAATTGTGCCCAGGAACAAAAGAAACTGCAGAGTTGGATTCCAGAAGTGCAACTCAGGGAATATCTAAGGAACATGTAATAGTTAGCATTCTTCTAAATATACGTAGCAGAAAATAAGTTGGGCTAGTCTCCATTTAAAGAGGAATTTGTTGGAACATCCTGGGGCGTCTCACAGAACTCAACAACAGGAATCCTTCTAGAGATCTGAAAAGAGTTGGACTCGGATTCACGTGTCAACATATCTCTCATTCCCTATCTGGTTTCTGCTTATCTTTGTGAGAATGCTCATTAATTTTCCCTTTTCAAAAGTGCAACTTTCTTTTTCTGTTTCACCTGGCCAAACCTGGATATAGACAGTTTCTTGTTTTTGTAAGGGTTTCAGCTACTGTGAGAAATACTGGATTTCTTTTCTGATTCTATTTTGCAACATTTCCAGGAAGAGACTGATTGGCACAATTGACCATCTCAGGTCCCGTGAACTGGATAGAGGTTGTAAGTCTTGCTCCATTACTAGTAACACAGAACCAGCTGCAATCAAGTAAGTAAAAGGAAATGGGGCATTTTCTAGAATTTGAATGCTTGAGGCGATACTGTAGATATACACCAGAAGAGGATGGATAAGTTTGGTTAATAATCCTGGAAATGGCTAGCTCTGATGTTTGTTATCTAGTGATTACTCAGGAGTCAATTTTATTATATAGATTCATAATCTATGAATATTAATAACCAACAATTTTCACTAGGTTATGGGGTAAGCCCTAGCAAAAAGAAATGAAGATATTAGCACTCAACCACTGTATAATTTTCAGAGCCACATTCCAGTATTAGAGAGGGAATAGGGAACCTGGCAAAGGTACTGAAAAGAATTATCCAAAATATGGAAAGGGGCAAGTAATTGAATGCCATGATATCACATTTTACTGACTTTATCCTGTTTATTAGACTCTCCTTTCTTCTCCTTTGCCCAATTCTTTATGAGAAAAGCAGAAGATTGTTTCATTTAAAAAGGTGAACTGTGTAAATACAGGCTTCCTGTAGTCTAATTGTGGCTTCTACAAATAGAAATATTAACTCTGAGGTGATAACCTCTTCAATCTTTAGGTTTTTCAACTGCAAAACCTACAATAAATGAGATCATTCATGAAAATTACTTATTATAATTCCTGACACAGAGTAAATGCTCAATAAATATTAGCTGCTGCCAGTATAAATCTATAATTTCTATTTGGCCCATTTATTATTTTACATCTTCTCTATGGATAATAAACAGATTCAAATATATCTCATATGCATGTAATTGCTAAATCAATATGTCTAGTCGGTAATTCAAACCAAATCTTCTGATTAATGCCTGCTAGATGTGCAGTGCAGACACTAGGAGGGAAATTGGTAATCCAACAGACAGAATCCCAGCCATTCACTAACTCACATTTTACTAGTGCAATTTACTATGTAATTCATTCATCATTCATTCATACTTTTAATCATTTAACAATTACTCACTTAGCAAATGTATCCACTCACTGATTTAAAAAGTGAGAAACACCTGCTAGACAACACAGATATAGTCTCTGCCTTTCTGACATTTACAATTTTTATGAACAACAACACACAATCAGCACACTAATAAAAGTAACAGGATATGTTTAGAAGGACTTCTGTTGTGTCAACATTGAAGCTAACAAATAAAAACAGGACTAGAGTTTCAAATGAACACCGCATTTTTTAGTTCATATAGCTGTTGGTGTACTAGTAGTTGGGTCACCCAAATAACTGCCCCATAATTATATGGAAAAATACCAGAAACCAACTAAATACCATCAGTATCCAAGAAGAGTTCTGAAAGAAGAGAGTTCTTTCTTCCACTGTACCAACTAGACATTCTCCTAGGGATCCACTCATATATATGGTTTATTCTTAAAAAAAAAAAAAAGACCAACGTATCACTTGCCAGATACATGTTTACTCAACTACAAAACCCACCCTAGTGCTGTAATTAGTACAGAGTTTTGTGAGAGCTTCCTTGGGAGAGTTTTCTGTCCACCTAAGTCTATGAAATATTCACCTTTGACTTCCTTTCTTACATTATAGTGGGATACTTGACATGTGTCCCATTAAGTTTGTAGATATTTTATTATAGACTTTGTAGCCACCTCTGCTTATAGAAACATCTGAAAGTAAGAGGTTGTTTTAGGGGAATGTTACCAGAAGAGCGTGAAGAGACCATGGAGTAACGTGCCTTAAAAACAATGGGGTTACATCATTCCATACTAGAGTTCATGGTTCTTAAGAGAGATGTTAAATAACTCTGCATATTCCATTGGCTCCAGTAGATAATCAAGTAAATTAGCAGGGCTTGAGTCATGAGGAATACCCTGGCAGGTGAACTGAGACAGATCACTCAGAAAATTATGGTAGAAGTTGAGGAAAGAGATGACTGAAACTTAGGGTAGCAGCAATGGGTGTAGAGAGAAATTGATGAACTTGACATATATTTTTTGAGTTCTGTCTGAATTTCCTGATAGGCTGGATGAACTACAGGAAGGGTTTAAAGATGATTTGTGAGTTTTTGACTTGAACAACTGGGAGAGTTGTGCTAATTTCAGGGACACTGGCAGATTAATAAACCCAGGTAGAAATAATCATTTGTTCCATTGAAGTCATGTTCAATTTTAAATGACAAGAAGAGATCAAATAAGCAGTTATGAGAGTTAAATCCAGAAGGTAAGTGGAATGTTTGGACTTTAAAGGAGCAGGACTAATCTTCTCATTTAATAGGAAGGGAGACTAAGAAAATAATTTAGGACAAATATTGGCTTTGAGATAAGAATTTGAGAGCGTTCTTTCCTGTATATTTATATTTTCTCAAGCAATCTGAGATGAGGCCTTTAGCTGAGAGGAAAGAAGTATAGCAGTTGGATATTAAGGAAAGTGCTAAGGATATAAAATGGTTTCCCAAGTGGGAAATTATTACACTAGAGAGATATGTTACATTTCTAGGCAGCATCAAGTTCCTACCTGAGGTCTGAGGTCATGAATTTTAAGTAAAACCAGTAAGGAAAAATATCAAATTTTGCCTTGGGTAAGAATCTGTTCTGTCAGAGACTATTTTATTTATTTTTTAAATGCTGCCATAAGAATGAGTGAGGCAAAATAGCCTCTCCCCAGATGATTACCTGCACAACTCTGCTAAGTTAATTTATAGATTGAGTACATTTCATATTAAATACATTATACTCAATGAAAAAATATATATAATTTCTGGTGACAGATAAAGTTTACTAATTTGATGGTCATCACAACCTCATAAAGGTTATATTCAGAGGTTATTAAACATAAATTTTATTATTAAAACTGTGCTTTGGAAACCTAAATTAGCTACAAGTGCATTAGATGAGGAGCCTCAAGGGCAGTATAATCTTATTGTCATAATTTCTTTTCATCAAGTTAAGGAAGAGACATCATAATTTCTTCTCATCAAGTTAAGGAAGAGACATCTAGACAATTTTGATATTTCAGCAATACTATAAATAAAGTGATGGGGTAGTCTCAGCCCTTTTTTAAGCTTAATGCATGATTGGTTTCCTAGATTATGCTAATGTCAATCTGGTTAAGATGAAACTAAAAATGACAGACAGACAGACAAACAAACAAACCAAAAACAAAAACAAAACAAAACAAAAAAAAAACTTTGCATGAGATTTGAAAGACAAAACCAAAACAGTGTCTATTATAGAATTCTATGAAGGTCATTATGTTCAGAAATGGTGACAGAGTTGTGCCCCAGTCATTCTCTTTTTTCTACATTAAGTTTGTCTTTCCAACTGCTAGTGCAATTGACCAATAGTCACCCCATCACTTGGTGGTGGAGCTGCAGAGGTCCCTGCTACACAGAAGACCCTTTTCTTGAGCATCCCTCCCATGAGTCGCTTGGGCTTGTTTTACTTTTTTTCTATTATCTCTGAAAATTCTCCTGCTTTTACTTCTCAGTCCTTCAAGCAGAATGTTTATTAACTCTGACTCTGATCTTCTGATTTCCCTTCTGGACCTTCATTTCCATAGCCCTCCCCACTTTTATGTAAGCTTTAATTTCTATTCTAAATTCCTTATTATAGAAGTACTCATCAAGACTCTGGTTTTCTCACTAAGCTAGACAAATACAGTCTTTTTGAGTTACAGCATTTCTCTTTTTAATATTCAAGGTATAATTTCTGTGTTACACATAAGTGAAGACTTCAAATACTGTCATGGGCCTCCAATTGTTTATGCAAAAAAAACCAAAAACTACCTTTTAGACTTGTGATCAATGCCTCACACAGGAAGACAAAGTGCTTCCTTTGGAGGCAGCAGCTCTTACATTGGTTGTGGCAGATACTGATTTTCAGAAAAAGATATTAAAACAACTTTCTCCTAAAACTTACTTCAAATCAGGCAGGTACAGAATTTATGGCCATAAATATAGTGGCATGCATTTATTTGCCTGTAGTTAAGATTGTTATATCAGTTTTAAATGTTCCAAGAGGGTCCAGGCACTAGTTTATACTGAATATTAGTATATTAGTGAATTTGGGGGAGTAGTTTGTCACCATTACATGATAATAACTATGAACTAGAATGGAAGCATGAAAAAAGGCCCTGGAAGTAATTTTTAAAATTATTTTAAAGGTTTAGACCTATTTAAAGAATGAAAAAGAAAAGAACATTAAAGATAAGCAAACATTGGAAATGCATAAAATTCCTGAGCACATTAAGAAAAAAAAGTTAATCCAGCTGGCATGGCTCAGTGGTTGAGTGTTGACCTATGAACCAGGAGGTCATGGTTTGAATCCTGATCAGGGCGCATGTCTGGGTTGTGGGCTTGATCCCCAGTGTGGGGTGTGCAGGAGGCAGCCAATCAATGATTCTATCTCATCATTGATGCTTCTATCTCTCTCTCCCTCTCCCTTCCTCTCTGAAATCAATAATATATATTAAGTGTATATATATATATTAAATATATATATTATATATATTAATATATATTATATATATATATTAAAAGATGAAAAAAGTTAGTTGATACCAAGAGCTTGAAATTAAGATCAATTTTTAATTCATTCATAGTTGTATTATTTTATCACCTTCCTTTTGTCTCCTGTCCTCTTCCTATCTATCTCATAGGCACCCACTCTTGTCATTGTAAAAATATTTTGAGGTAGATGGGTGGATTAATTCTGCTCTTATGAAATTTGTGAGCCTGGAGGCAGGTAAGAAGCCTAAAAAAAATAAAATAAAATAAAATTTTCATTGGGCTAAAATCTAGTTCTGTTTATGATTTTTTTTCACTCAACATTGGGTTTCTGAAATCTATCAATTTGTATACATAATTTTGTTTTTATTTCTGCATAGTAATACATTATGTACATTTAGTATCCTTTACTTACGATAATTTTGATAAAGATGGTAGTCACCTCCAATAACTTTCTAATATGTAAAAATGTAAAATATAAGTTACAACTCCATTAGATGAGGAGCTATGAGAGATGTATAATTTTATGG